TTGTGGGATGTTCCTACAGTCACAGTTAGTCAAGCCAGCTCCCATTTATATTTCCAATATTGGCACCTGCCATGGTTAGATTGGATCTGTTGTCCAGTTTTTCCTTGGAGGATCAAAGCTGGAGGGGCATTGTACTGGATCAGACACAAATTAAACAGACCTGGTTAGAAGTTGTCCATTCCTTGTGCCATACTCTCAATATCCAAAGCCTTCTCTGACTAATTGCTGTAGAAATTTCCACCACAGGTCCCAAGATTTGAGTCTTGAGTATTTGATCATGACAGTCCTTGTGTCTAGATAATAATTGATTTGCCTCGCGTTTCTGTCACTCCCCGTTTAAGGCTGATTTTCTTCTAAGGTGTGGGATTCATGTGTTAGATAGTAAGGTAACCATTTGGAAGGTGTCAGTTCAAGAGTTCCTGGTATGAGCCTGATAGTATGATTAAGCTGGGTGTCCATTGCTTTTGTGTGAACACTATTTAACCATACAGTGTTAGGATAATATTCAACCACTGAATATACCAAAGCAAGAACTGATATCCTGCAAGCTGTAACACTTGCAGAAAGTTTATGTAGGGTCTTGTTCCTGGTTTTTATTTTATCCATTGTTTCTCTTAAGTGTTCCCTAGAGGTTAAGGACCAGTCAAAAGTCACTCCTGAATACTTTGGATTACGATTAAACTTCAACAACTGGTTCCTAAATTCCACTTTTGGTGTATAGTTAGCTTGTCTGTTGTTCAAGTGAAAACAGGCAACTTTGCTTTTGTTAATGTTGGGTTTCAGCCTCCGGATTTCAAAAAAAAACTTACCCATTTTAAAAAAACCATTTTTGAGGGCCCTTTCAGAAGTATTAGTCTTCAGATTGTTTTATCAGCATGATGTCATCAACATATTCTTGCAGCATACGTGGTAGATTGATGTTTATATATTAAAAATAGTGGAGCCAGCATAAAATATGGCAAGCCGTCATTTTCCTATACTTCTGGCTAATTTGACCCTCTAGCTGTACTTCAATGTATCTGTTTGAAAGCATACTGTTTTACAAGTATATGTTCCTCGGCCGGGGGTTTAATACTGTTTAAGATAAGTAATTTGTAAGAAACGCTTAAGAGCACTATAGGTCTAAAATCTTCCACAGAATTCCCCTCTTTACCATGTTTCATGATGGCTACAATTTTTGTTATTTACTGCTAGATGGGGTTACGCTGCTTCAGACAGACCTGGTGTCCAATCTGGGGATCCTTTTAGACTCACAACTCCTGCTGATTGAGCAGGTAGCAGTCATGTTTAAAAGGGCCTTTGCACAGCTTTGTCATGTGTACCAATTGCAAATGCTCTTGAATAGGCAGGCCCTACTCATGGGTTACTCATACCCTAGTCACTTCCATATTGGACTATTGCAATGTGTTGTACATGGGTTGCACTTGAAGAACTTCAATGTTGAAGAACTTTAATGTGGACAAGCTACAATGGTGGTGGGGCAGTTACATGCACTCCTACAACAGTGCATGTTATACCTCTGCTCTGTGATCTGTATTGGTTGCCAATTTGGTTCTGAGTCCAATTCAAGGTGTTGTATTTTTTACCTTTAAAACTTTTCAGGGCATTTCATAGGCTATTTAAGAGATAGCTTGTCCCCAGTTACAGCAGTCTGCCCAAATAGATCTGCTAGAGAAGGCATTTGTTGATTAAATTTATTCGTCACCCATTTCAACCACAAGGTGACTCTGGGGGAATACTATATCAGCTTAGGGACCTATGTTTGATGGGTCCCAGGAGATGTGCCTTTTCTGTCATTGGCCTGCCTTATGGAACATTTTTCCCACTGAAATTAAACATAATTATGTTAAGCAAGCAGAATGGAAGGGAAGGAGGGAGGGAGGGAAGGAAGGAATCTTTCACATTTATCTTAACACCTAAGGAAAAATTTTCTGGATTTGAAGACTAGAAATTTAAACTTCTAGCCTTTAAATTTAAAGAATATTTACTTATTGATCAAACTGGTATTGAATTTCAATAATAGGTTACTGTGCTTGGTGGATAGTTTTGATACATGTTTAGATTCATGGATTTATCCATTTTATCCATTTTTCAAACTTGCTCTAACCTCTAATACCTACCAATGATCACAAGGTCCACCTACTGTATAACTGATCCAGCAGGTATTCAGCAGGTTCTGACCAGTTCTAGAGAACCAGTAGCAGAAATTTTGAGTAGTTCTGAGAACTGGCAAATACCCCCTCTGACTGGAGATTTTATAGTATCCTTCCCCTGCCATGCCCACCAAGCCACTCCCACAGAACCGGTAGTAAAAAAATAATAATCCCACCACTGCCTCTGGGGGATTACTGGCAGACTCCTTGATGCTCTCTCACCTTGGTTGTTTGCAGACATTTCGTTACCCAATTAGGTAATATCAGTGCTAATAAGTATGTGGTGTTTGCTTCCTGCTTACATACAGTTGCTTGCCCTACCAGTTGTTGTTGGAGGTGTGGTTTTCTCCTTGGTAGTTCCTTGATTAGGATATTGTTTGATGTTGATGTCTGGTGTTAATCCCTGCTTATCTGGGTGTAGGCTGCTGCAGATACTGTGCTCTGGTCTTTTTGTTTCCTTCTTTGTTTTTTAATTGTTCATTTGTAGTAGGTAAACATGTTTTATCTCTATGTGTCTATTAATGGCTGATTTGTCTGAATGTCAAACTTCCAGGAATTCCTTAGTGTTTTTGGATTTAGCTTGGTCTAGGTTGCTCACAATTTCCCAATTGAAACAGTGGATGAGTCTGTCATGTGTCGCAGGATAAATATTTTTCATCATGTTTTCTGACTGCTAGTTGGTATCCATGGATGTGCTCTGCAAATGCTCTGTCTGTCTGTCCAATATAGTGGCTGTTAACATCCTTACACCGTATGTTCTGTATGACTCTGTAATTCTCCTGTTTTTTTTAATTCTTGGGCTGCTGGTTCTTTTGGTTTACTTAAAATATTTAATTAAGTAAAACTAAGTCAAGTTTCAAGTTAAGAAAGAAACAAAAGGACAAAACCACACCTGTACTAACACTGACAGGGCAAACTGTTGTATATAAACAGGGAACAAACCCCACGCTGAAGAGCACTGATAGTGTTACCTAATTGTGTAAGGAAATGTCTGCAAGCAAACAACCAAGCTCAGAGAGCAACAAAGACTCAGTAGTTCAACCCTGAACTACATATATCATTACATAAATGACTGGATTACTATAGGAGTTTTGGTAGTGTTCCTGCATTACTGCCACCTGACTGATCAGATTTTTTTTAAAAATACAATCTACTCAAAGTCCACTGGAGTCAAAACCATTGTAAAAATCCCACTCTACAAGGCCAGACTGTAAGATAGTGATCTTCCTCAAATCACCATTTGAACTAATTAGTGAAATTATATTTGAATCTAAATCATTCTGTTTTGATTTAGAGCAGAGGTGTCAAAATCAAGGCCCGTGGGCCGGATCCAGCATGTGGGGTGCTTAGACCTGGCCCGTGAGGCTGCTCTGGAAACAGCGAAGAACTGGTCTGTGGTGCCTCTCTGCCAGCTCCATTTTCATTGGCAAAAGGTTGCAGGAGGCCGTTGCAACTGAAAATGGAGCTCAGGACCCGGTTTCACTTGCAGAGCGCTAGGGCCCCCCGACACGAATGACATTGATCTGGCCATGCCCACCCTGGCTCCCCAAGGTCAAGCACAACCCTGATGTGGCCCTCAATGAAATCGAGTTTGACACCCCTGATTTAAGGGATTAGCTCTAGTTTAAGATAATTGTGCTTAAATTAGTTAAAATCATTTGAACTAATTTCAATGGTACAAAAGCACAAAAGTGGTACAAAATGGTACAAAATGGTACAAAAGCTCCATTTTGCAGTACATTCTATCCAGCAGAATATGAGTAAATCATATTTTTTATATGGTCTTAGTTGCCCAGAAAATATATTTCTGTCTCTGTCATCCTGGATATGGTAAAAATAAAACAGATAACAGATAATCAGTGTTGGAAGGGACCTTATAGATCATCTAGTCCAACCCCCCACCAAAGTAGGAGACCCTACACCATTTCTGACAAATGGCAGTCCAATCTCTTCTTGAAAGTCTCAAGTGATGGCACTCCCACAACTTCCGAGGACAAGCTGTTCCATTGGTTGATTGTTCTCACTGTCAGAAAGTTTCTCCTTATTTCCAGGTTAAATCTCTCCTTGTCCAGTTTCCATCCATTATTCCTTGTCTGGCCTTTGGGTGCTTTAGGAAATAGCTTGATCCCTTCCTCTCTGTGGCAGCCCCTCAAATATTGGCAGACTGCTATCATGTCTCCCCTGGTCCTTCTCTTTACTAGACTAGCCATGCCCAGTTCCTGTAACCGTTCTTCATATGTTTAGTCTCCAGTCCCCTAATCATCCTGGTTGCTCTTCTCTGTACTTTTTCTAGAGTCTCAACATCTTTTTTATAATGTGAACAAAACTGTGGTTTTACTAAGGCTTTATAGAGTGGTATTAGTACCTCCCTTGATCTCGATTGTATCCCTCTGTTAATGCAATTTAGGATTGCATTAGCTTTTTTGGCTGCTGCTGCTGCATACTGCTGGCTCATATTTAGCTGGTTGTCCACTAAGACTCCAAGATCCCGCTCACAGTTCCTGCTATTGAGCCTGGTTTCACCCAGTCTATATGTGTACTTTTGGTTTTTCTTGCCTAAGTGTAGGACTTTACTTTTCTCTACATTGAATTTCATTTTGTTAGATATGGCCCAGTGTTCTAGTCTGTCAAGATCCATCTGGATCTTGAGCCTATCTTCCTGGGTGTTAGCTATTCTTGCCAGTTTAGTATCATCTGCAAATTTGGTAAGTTCCCCTTCTATTCCCTCATCTAAGTCGTTAATGAAGATATTGAAGAGTAAACAAAATAAGAAATTGCTGGTATAAGTTCCGGAAGGCTGATACTAAAATAAAGTTTCCTGAAATTTGTTTCTTCTCTCTTTTTTAGTTGTGTCAGAGTAGAAGAACACCATGCTGTTGATATTGATCTTTACCACTGTCCCAATTGTGCAGTTCTACATGGACCCTCCTTAAGTAAGTGATGAATTTTAAAGCATTTTGCACAATTAAGGTTAAGGTGGACTCAATACTGAATATAAATTATTTTTATAGCTGATGATATAATGGTTATCCTAGATAATTATGCAATGTTATTTTGAAGTTATATTTCAAAGTTGTTTATACTCTGATTTTACCTTTAACTGTTTGCATCATTAACAAAGAAGTATGCCCCTTTGGAATCTACTATATCTATTGATTATTGTAAGAGATTAAGCTGTATAATACTAGCAATAGCACTTAGACTTATATACCGCTTCATAGTGCTTTGCAGCCCTCTCTAAGTGGTTTACAGAGTTAGCATATTGCCCTCAGCACTCTAGGCCCTCATTTTATCAACCTTGGAAGGATGGAAGGTTGAGTCAACCTTGAGCCGGTAAGGATTGAACTGCTGGCAGTCAGCAGAATTAGCCTTCAACACTGCATTCTAACCATCACGGCAATAACATACTTGGGAAACATATCACAATATGTTTGGTGAAATATGTCTACATGTATAGATGCAATTTCAGTAGATAAAACCTAGTGTTAACCCCAACTCTGAAAATAGAATGGAAGATATTTTTCCAGAATGCTTGAGCTAAACAAGAGAGCTGTTCTTCAGATCACTTGATTTCTAATAGGATTTTAAAGACTTGAGAGATTATGTTGAATATGATTTATCTACAACATTTGTATGGCAGAATATATAATTAAAGCATGTAACTAAAAATATGGCCATTGCTGCAACACCGTGATCATGTGATTTTCATGCATGGCAACCAGCTTGCGCTTATAGTGGTTTGTGACTTGCCCTGCTGGCTTCTCACAGGCAGTCAATGGAGAAGCTGAAAGGTAAAGGTTATAAGTTGCTCCTCCTCTTGTTGCAGCCCACTCATAATGTTCAAAACAGTCAGAAATATATCACATCAGAAAAATAAAAGAAGTTTCATTAAAAAAAAATCACATGATCTTCCAAATAGTTGTAAGCTTATTTCAGATAAGCTTACAACAATTTTGCTGTCCTTCTTTGTTGTACTCCTGCAATTTAGCAGCTGTTGTCATTGTCTACATTTCAGAACAATAATGTAGCTAAGATTTTTTTTTTTTTTTTTGCAAACTGAATAGTATCTATCAATATTTAAGTAATAAAAATTAGAGTTTCTCTTCTTATTTCTTAAGTGACTTGTTTGGTCAGATAGCTGGTTATCTTCTGGGATTCAAGCCAAGTGAACTGTCTTTTGTTCCTTTTTCTTTGTTCATCTTTCTTAAATGCAAAGAGACCGGAAGGATAAAATCAAAGATAATTACATTTTTTTCTTTTACCATCTCAAATGCACAACTAAAATTCAGAAGCAGATTTTTTTTAAAAAAAAAAAACACCGTTTGATTTTTGTCAAATATAACAACACATTTTATCATCTCTCCATCCCCTCCCCCAAAGTGCCCTAGTTTTCATCATTGTCCATCTGAAGATGTGACAGCCATGTATACTGCCACTTAAAAAGCTGATTTTTAAAAATAATTATAATAGCAATCTTCCTCCTCCTCTTCCTCCTCCTCCTCCCTTTCAATCTACTTATTACTCTGGCCATAAAAATATTACAGATTACCTATTGCTTTATCTTGATCATACCTTGGTATGGAGTATGAAGGAATACATGACTGCTTAATGGCAAAATCAAATTATTCTTTTATTTTTGCAAATATTCATAAAAATTATCTTTATATGCTGAATAAAGTATATTTGCCATCGTAGTCTTCACAAAGGTAATTCCCTGATGCCAAAAGTAATTTGGGAATCACTCACCCAGTTTTTGAGTTTACGGGGGAAAAAATATAGGCAGAAGAAACGGATTCATCCAGTTTGAGATCCAATGTTTTGAAAGCTTGACATGATACCATTGAATTCTTAATGTAGCCCTTGGCATGGAAATGGTTTGTATCCCCATAAATAATATTTATTCTTATAGCTTTGTTGTGATGAGACTAAGGTAAGATGATCCTACTCCCTTAAAAATGTTTTATATTTTGTCTTGAAGTTAGGTGTCCCCCACTTCTAATACAGTGAGCTGATTCACAGGGTTAGCATGATCAGTTATATCAAATTGCACTGGTCCTGAATCCTGTTTAAAATAGGGCCAAATGAATGGTTTTTAATGAGTATCTGAAATTATAGTTATTCTTTTCTCAAACAATTTTCATAAGAAAGAGACATTGTGACTAACCAGTAGTTATTCAGTAACTGTTATGAATTGTAACATCCAGAGTGAGTTTCTTGAGAAGTGGACATTTTGTCATTTCTAGGTAGTCTGACATTTATCTTCTTGACCCATTGATTCCATCCCATTAATCAGACTGAATCAATTGTAAAAAGATGGGTTGAGAGGCATGTCAGACTCTACTTACCAACCAAAATGGGGTGACTGTGGAATGTTGCAAGTATACCAGAGACTTAAAGATAAAAAAGGGCATTGAATATCTGAAGGACAATGAAGAAGGGCAATGAAACTAGTATACCATAAAGGCTTACTGAGTACTGGAGAGACCAAGCTGGCCTACGAGAAAGAACAAAATAACAGAGTTGAAAGGGATCTTTGACTATACAGACCTTTGTCGTCTAGGTGATGTTTTTAGTATGCTATCTAGTATGCAAGATCTGCCTGAACAAATCTACTATGGAGATAAAGCCAATATGATTTTATATACATAATTCACCTATTTATATTGCCATCTAAATCTCAAATTGAAATCACTATTCAAATACAAAAACAATATAATGCTGATTAATGTATGTTATGCTCATCTGTGCAACAGATGTATTCAAACCTACTAGACTCTAGTAATCTAGTTTATTAGTTTGATGTTGAAATGGTGCTTATTAAATCCACTCAAATCTTTTTAGTGTAAATATTGAGCACCTTGTATGAGGTAATAATTTACCTTTTAATATA